ACAAAGTTCTCCTATCGAGACCCTCTTAGGCGTGAAGTGTCTTTCCCAAAACTGTAACCTCTGAGGATGATGCCCCCCAGTATCCGAGGTTGATTAAAAAGAAACCTTGGATACTGTTGAGTTTTCCTAAATGGGTTTTACCGGTAAGGTTTTTAACGAGGCAACANCCCGTGGGATTGTAAGTGTAGAGCTCGTACGAGACACAAAGTATCTCTGATGTATCCAGAATGCTTTCTTTAAATAGTTGATACATGCGTACATGTTTTGCTGTCGGAGCTCGACTATTCTATATGGGCACGGTTCGTTTGACCGTTTGGCCCATTACAAAGTTCTCCTATCGAGACCCTCTTAGGCGTGAAGTGTCTTTCCCAAAACTGTAACCTCTGAGGATGATGCCCCCCAGTATCCGAGGTTGATTAAAAAGAAACCTTGGATACTGTTGAGTTTTCCTTAGGCAGCACACAGTTGTTGCCTCGTTAAAAACCTTACCGGTAAAACCCATTTAGGAAAAAACCCGATCCAAGGAAAAAGAGTGCAACGTATGCTTTAAACCCTACGGCCTTCGTGTAAAAAGTGTGTCTTCGAGATCATGTGCCTTTGAGAGCTCCCATCATATCGGGCTTGTATAATCTTTTACCAACGATTCCGAGGGCTCAATGCGGTCATATCTTGTTATCTGCGATCGTAATATCTTCAAAAGCCTTGACCTGGTCGGGGATGATTTTGATGCCTCGATACTACAACATGAAGCCGGGAAACTTACCCGTGCTAACCCCGAAGGCATGTTTCTCTGGATTGAGCTTCGTACTGCATCGCCACAAAACGTTGGTTGTTCCCTGCAAATAAATTAAAGTGATCCTCTGCGCACATAGACTTGACCAATCATATCATCAATATAAGCTTTCATTATTTTACCTGTTTATTCTTCGAGCAGAATCCCTATCATATTTGAACGGGGCAAAGCAATGCGATCTACATTATTAATAAGAAACTAAATGAGTTTTTTCGTGAGTGTGGGGGTTAATCCTGTTCCCAGGTGTACTTTTCTCTTGAGCGGTTGACTTGGTAGCATCGGGCTTCTCAGGAACAATGAAGGTTCGAGGATCTGGGGAATTCCTTTCGTCACCTTCGGTTACCTGTAATTCTGTCTCCGTCGAGGCTCGAACTGTGACTACTACTTAGCCACCTGCTTATCTTTGGAATTTGATGTCTCCGAGGTCAAGGATTCCGGTATCGGTACCACTTCCTCGATTGCGAACATCTCTTTCGCAGCATGCTGTTCTCCGTGGACTATTTTCACTCCTTCTTCTGTCGGGAACTTCATCATCTGATGGAGAGTCGAAGGCACTGCCCTGATATTGTGTATCCATGGCCTCCCGAGAAGTGCGTCATACCTCATGTCACTTTCGATGACATGGAACTTGGTGTCTTGTATGGTCCCAGCTACGTTTACTGGCAAGATAATTTCTCCCCTCATTATTTCACTTTCCATGTTGAAGCCATTCAGCACCCGAGATGCAGGTACAATTTGATCTTGTAGGCCGAGTTATTTCACGACCCTCGATCCGATTATATTCGCCGAGCTATCTGGATCCACTAAAACACGTTTAACCTGAATTTTATTCGAAAGGATAGAGATTACCAGGGCGTCTTTGTGAGGCTATGACACATCTTCTGCTTCCTTGTCGCAGAATAATAGAGCGTCCTCGGGCACATAGCTCCGAGTCCGTTTTTCTTTTGTGATAGATGCTTTAGTGCGTTTGAATATAGGCCCATGTGGGACGTCGGCTCCACCGACAATCATGTGAATGACATGTTGAGGTTCTTTGGGCTCATTCTTTCTGTTTGCATCTCTTTCTCGGAAATGGTTTTTGACTTGGTCACTGAGAAATTCACGAAGGTGCCCCTCGTTGAATAATCGGGCTACCACCTCTCTAAGCTGTCTACAATCCTCGGTCCTATGCCCATGAGTAACATGATACTTAATCATTAAGTTGGGGTTTCTCTGGGAAGGATCTGTCTTTATGGGCTTGGGCCATCTAGTATCTTTAATTTTGCCAATGGCTGAGACGACACTTGAGGCGTCAACACTGAGTTGTATTCTGATAATCTGGGTGCCTCCACTGGTCCCGAGCTCCTATCGAACCCAGTTTTGCCTATAAGTCCCCGGGAGCTTTGGCCTCGATCTACTCTTCGATCACTCTAAGGTGCATTACACCTTCAAACGTTCCTTCTATCTTCGATGTACGATTGATATCTTTCCTTGTCAAATCTTGATCCTAGGTCTGTGTCCCTTGAGGCTTGGCTGCGAATCTGTTCGGGTAAACTGAGCCCGAGGGGGTTCCCAATTGGTCGTCCTTGACCCTAATTTTTTACTACGATTGTGCACATGACCATGTCACAGCCGGATATTCAATCAAGCTCTGCTTTAGCTATCGAGATGCAATCGAGCTTCTTTCATTCAAACCTTGCATAAAGGCCTGAACTGCCCAATCATCGTAGACTGACGACAATTCCATTCATTCCATTTAAAACCGAGACACGAACTCCCTTAGCATCTCGTCGTCCCTTTGTCTTATTTTGAAGGCATCTGATTTTCTTGTGGACACCTTTATGGCCCCGACGTGTGCTTTCACGAAGGCATCCGCCAACATCACAAACGAGTCAATGGAGTTAGGAGCTATGTTTTGATACCAGATCATAGCTCCTTTTGATAATGATTACCCAAACTTTTTTAACAATACTGACTCGATTTCATCATCATTCAAGTCATTTCCTTTGATTCTATAAGTGTATAAAGTAATATGTTCATTAGGGTCAGTTGTTTCCTTATATTTCGGTATATCGAGCATGCGAAACTTCTTGGGAATGGGCATCGGAGCCGCACTTGGGGGGAAAGGTTTTTGTATGAACTTTTTTGAATCCAGTCCTTTCAAAATTGGAGGTGCTCCTGGTATCTGGTCGACTCTTGAATTGTATGTCTCCACCTTTTTGTCATTTTCTACAATTTTCTTTTCTCCGGACTCGATTCTTTTGATCAGTTCTTCGTGCATTTTCATATTAGCGGGATCAGTCCCCGATCCACTTTCATCGGGCCTTTCAGGCGTAGGCTCCATGGCGTCCACCGGTTCGGCGGTGTTTGGAGTTCTTTTTTGACTCTGAAGTTGAGCAATGGCCACTTGCTGAGCTTGCAGCATCTCGAATATCACTTGGAGGCTGACTCCCCCTTCTTCCATTCCTCGCATTTCCTGGCCTCCGGCTCGGGCTTCCCAGTGCGCATTCCACATTTGGCACTTCCTCAGGGTTTATGGGTGGCACGCCAAGCCCTATACCGCTCTTTTCTCTGAGTCCCTCACTGTCATGAGCAAGTGCGTTTTGTGTGCTAGACATATTTTGGCCTAAAATCAAAAAATCTTTGACAAGAAAAAGTGTGAAGAATAACGTGTGTTATCAGAAAACTAGCACTAAAATAATCACTTTTATCTTTAGCCCCACGGTGGGCGCCAAACTGTTTACCTTGAAAAATATGAGTAACAATTAAAGATGATCTGTGGTTTTAAAGATATGTGATATATTCTAATACTAGTGATTATACAAGTAATGCCAAGCTTATGTAAGAAGAAATGATGAACCAAATCATTGTTGTTGGAGCAGTAGGGGCCTCGAGCTTGATTTTCCCCGGGACCTCGAGGTCAGCTAAGAACAATAAAGTATGAACAATAAAGTAAAGGCAATAAAGGTGAAGAATAATTGTTGAGCACGTTAAAAGCATAGTAGAATATTCTATTGCAGTGAATAATGTGAGATCCTCCTTACAAAATGATTGGGGTCCCCTTTATATAGGAGGAGAAAACCCCAATATGGTACATTCCTAATTGTAGTAAAGAATTCTATTGGTACAGGTGTATAACAACCTAGTACAGACCTGTACCATTTCGTACAAATCTTATCCTTTAATTTATGCCCTTATCCACGTGTCCTTGAGAAATTCCCGCTCTTTCTTGATTGACTTTGAGATTGTGCTACCCTCGATGTAGGTCATGCCAGGCCTTCGATCACCTTCCTCGAGGTAGGTGTCCCTCAACTGGGTCCAACCTCCATTCCGAGTTGCCCGAAATCGGACTCATAACTCAATTTTGGACTTCGAAACTGGGCTCCTTGATTTAGACCGTATACAATAACGTTTACCCATAACCTCACTAACTCAAATATATAACTTTCTCTTAATTTCATGCCCAAAATTATGGTCAAAACCCAAGAATACCAAATTTCTAGATTTTCCTCAAAATCCCAAATTCCTACAAATTTCCTTGTCTAGATCCATATATAAACCTTGTATTTACTCAAAACTAGTAGAAATCACTTTCCTCATGCTTGGTGATGAAAATGGCACTCCAAAGTTGCTCCAAAATCGGCTCCCATGGAAGAAATGAAGTGAAAATGGGCCAAACTCCGATTTTCAAAGAACACTGCTCAGGCGACCCTTCATCGCGAACGCGGAACATCCCTCGCGTTCGCGAAGCTCTGAAATCTCACGCCCAGGAAACCCTTCTCCGCGTTTGCAACCCACTGAACGCATTCGCGAAAGCTAGCTGCCCAAACCCAACGTGTTCATATTAGCCTCTACGCCTTCGCGTAGGCCAAATTGCCTTGGGCCCAACTCTCCCTTTATTTTTTGCGTTCGCGTAGCCTTGTCCGCGTTCACGAAGGCTTAACCAACTACTGCCTCGCGTTCGCGTCTACTACCTCGTGTTCCCGAAGGCCAAACTCAATAGCCCCATAAACTCCTCTTCGCGAACACGGGACTTCCTTCGCGTTCGTGAAGAAGGAAACCAGACACCAGCAATCAGCAGCTCCAAAACAACCCGAAATGCTCCGAAACCACCCCGAAACACACCCGAGGCCCCCTGATACCCCGTCTAATCATACCAACCAGTCCTATAACATAACACGGACCTTCTCGAGGACTCAAATCACATCAAACAAAGCTGAAATCACGAAGCGCAACTCAATTCACGCTTTATGAACTTTAGAACTTCAAAATTCTACATTCGATGCCGAAACCTATCAAATCACGTCTGATTGATCTTAAATTTTCCACACAATTCATATTTGACATTCTACTCCAACTTCTGAAACCGGATTCCGACCCCGATATCAGAAAGTCCACTTCCGGTTAAACTCACCAAAATCTTCAAATTCTTATCTTTAGCCAAATGACTCCAAAATGACACACGGGCCTCCGAATTCATTTCTGATCGCTCTCCCAACACTAGAATCAACATACGGAGTTGTTCCTAGACTAGGAATCCCAATCGGACATCGATAGCATTGAAATGCACTTCAACCCAAATTTATGGAATTCTTCCAAAATGCCAACTTCCACAATAGGCGCCGAAACGCTCCCGGGTCATCCAAAACCCGATCCGGACATATGCCCAAGTCAAAATACATCATATGAACCTGTTGGAACCTTCAAATCATGATTCCAAGGTCGTTTACTCAAAATTCCAATCCTAGTCAATTCTTTTAACTTCAAGCTTTTGAAATGAGAATTTTCATTCCAAATCCAATCCGAACTTCCCGAATATCAATTCTGACCATACATACAAGTCATAATAACTGAAGTGAAGCTGCTCATGGCCTCAAACCGCCGAGCAACGCGCTAGAGCTCAAAACGATAGGTCGGATCGTTACATTCTCTCCCACTTAAACTTACGTTTGTCCTCGAACGTGCTGAGAACTGCACTGGAGTTCTCCGAAATTACTGTTTAACTCCTTGAGCACCTACCCGTGCTACCACAGCTCAGTTGAGCACATTAAGTCGA